CGGTCAGTGGGTGGTGAGCAATTGGACTGTGCATCCCTTGCTTTGTGTATTATTATTATTATTATCATCATATTATTATTATCATCATTTTATTTCAATTATTAAACTGTTTTTATCTCAACCCACAAGTTTTTCTCACTTGTGCTCTTCCAATTCTCTCCCCCATCCCACCGGGGGGGAATGTGAGTGAGCAGCTGCGTGGTGCTCAGTTGCCAATTGAGGTTAAGCCACGACAAAGGTTTATTCCTCAAAAGACAGGAATTCAAAATCCTTTTGTTTAAAACTTGGCCGTAGGCAGCAGCAGGGTCAGTTAATTGTGCTAATGCTTTTAAAGCCCAGGGGAAAGCAACCTTTCCTTCACAGTGCCTTGCAAACAGCCAGGACAGCCCTTCATTTCACAGAAAGGGAAGCTGTTCTCAAATACTGCAAATGCTCAGTTGTATCTAGCGTATTGTCACACAGCATAAGACACCATTTGGTGTTTATGATGACTTAAAATGCTGGGCACACTGGATTTCAGAATACTGTCCTGGTTTCAGCAGGGATAGAGTTAATTTCCTTCCTAGTAGCTGGTACAGTGCTGTGTTTTGGATTTAGGATGAGAACAAAGTTGATAACACACCGATGTTTTAGTTGTTGCTAGGTAATGCTTACACTGGCCAAGGACTTTTTGGTTTCCCATGCTCTACCGACTGAGAAGGCTGGAGGTGCACAAGAAGCCGGGAGGGGGCACAGCCAGAACAGCTGACCCAAACTGGCCAACGGGATATTCCATACCATGTGACGTCATGCTCAGTATATAAAGCTGGGGGAAGAAGAAGGATGGGGGGACGGTGGAGTCTAGAGTGACAGTGTTTGTCTTCCCAAGTGACCGTTACGCGTGAGGGAGCCCTGCTTTCCTGGAGATGGCTGAACACCTGCCTGCCCATGGGAAGTAGTGAATGAATTCCTTGTTTTGCTTTGCTTGCGTGCGCGGCTTTTGCTTTACCTGTTAAACTGTTTTTATCTCAACCCACAAGTTTTCTCACTTTTACCCTTCTGATTCTCTCCCCCATCCCACTGGGGGGGAGTGAGCGAGCAGCTGCGTGGTGCTCAGTTGCCAACTGAGGTTAAACCACAACAAATACCTACACTACTTTTATCGTCAGTCACCTGCTGGGGATCTACCTCAAAGCCTGAGTGCTCCGGAAAAGGCTGCCTTGTCCATTCCTGCCAAAATTAAAAGTGCTCTGTGGTACCAGGCTGTCATTTGAAAAGACTGGGACATTAACAGCCCCATTTAGACCCATTATCCACAGACTGCTAGACTACCTGCAAAGCTAATCTGAGAAGACTCCATCTTCTCTAGTTAGACCAGCTATTACTGTAAAAATGTTTACTTGGACACAGTATTCCTTGTGGCATGCTTTAAAAACAAATGTATTTTCTCCATGTCAAAATAAGGCTCTCCTCATATCCACACTCTCTACTTGTAGCTTTAATTTGATCAGATACTGTGAATCAATGTGATGGAAAAAACTCATTACTTTGTAAATTCTATTTTAGTAATAAATAAAAGAGCACTACTGTATGCAGAGATTTGTTTCAACAAGACAGTAAAAAAGACCTTCATCTGTGCCTAAAGGGCATTTTTTCCCCATAACTGAGGGTGGAGAGCTGGAGGCAGCTTTTTGACCCCTTCGTGATGCGGAGGTCTCATCACAGCAGCTACAGCTGGGGACGAGTCCCCTCTGACAAGCTTTCAAAGAGCTCAGCACACTTCAAGAAGCCAGAAGGGTAGCAGTGGGGAGGGAGGAGGCTGGCCCTGGATGCTTTCCAGTAAGGGCAGCAGAATATCTACACTACTTTCATAGTCAGCACCTTAGAGCAGTTCTTTTGCCAAAGTCACAATAAGCAGAGCAGTCCTGCTGGAAAATGAGAACCAGGACAAGAGAGCATCCAAAGGGCAGGGGCTAGCTACCACATCTGCTGCCTGTTTGTGGGAATTCTGTGGGGTCTTCATCCAAAAACAAATAAGAGATCTTCTCCTTAAAGTGACATGTCTTCCTACTGTTGCAAAAGTTACAGAAAACTTCCTTCGAATTAGGACTTCTTTTTTCCTGCTCTGGTCATTTATAACAAAAGTTTGACTCAGATTCCATGCAGATCTCCAGTGTTTGTACTTACCTTTCTTCTTTTGTGAGACCTGTCAGTCTTCTACACTTCCGAGCAAGAATGAAGCTGTAAAAAAAGGAAGACCACAAACAACTCACTTCCATCATGTTACTACATTTCCTGCATTATTTAAAATGCCAATACCTTATGATGAGATGCTTGTGATTCATAGTATTAGCTTTTGGGTCTCTATCCAAAATATCCATTTCACCTGTGCATAATGTTATATGCTACACCTGCTGGACTCACTGTGGAAGGAACCACTCTGAGATTCAGGTTAGAATATTTGTATGAGCTGTTTCCCAATGACCTTAACTTTATACAGCAGTGCATGCAGGCATTAACAACAGGAGGTGAAGCCTGGGATTGAACTGGAAATTATTGTTAAATAAACTTTAAGACTGATCATACTCTCTGGCTGTTTGAAAAAACAGAACAAAACAAAATATAATTCTAGAAAACAAATTATCATTTAAAGAACTAGAAGGTTTGGGGGGAGGCAAAATATTTGGAGAAAACTTTACATATCTGCAATCACTCCCTTTTTTCTTCTCCTTCCTTTCCTCTTCTCCAATTTTGTATTTTGCCACACAAAAAGGCAAAAGGTGACAGTGAGAAAAAGAGAAGAAAAATATAATTTCTTTTTTTTTGGGGGGGGAAGTTTTTTGAAAGAAAAGTTCATAGAACATATTCACCACACACCGAGAAAGTCAATCCTGTAACTATTTTAATGTATTTCCCTTCAAAAGTAGCAGGTTTTCTGTTTCAACTGTTGCCTCTAAGGTAAAATAAAAAGGCATTAACTAGCCACCTTCTTTGCCTCTTACCCTATTATGGCAGGAAAGCTGCCATCAGGCTTAGTATCATCAAGTGTTAAACCAATTGCAGCATCCTCATCTTCAATGATCATGGTACCACAATACCCTGGTAAGCACAAAGTGGAAAAGAAGTTAGGATTCATGTATCCAAACGCAGGAACGAGCTTCCAAGAAGTTGTGAAATATTCAGAACTTGACCGGAAAAAGCCCTAAACAACCTGATCTAAATTCACCCTGCTTTGAGCAAGGCATTGGACTAGATGACATCCAGAGGTCCCTCCCAATCTCTGTCATTCTCTGATTCTATGATTCTAGCATAGGGAGATATGAAAACAAAGGAAAGCACAACAAAAAAAACAAGTAAAGCAATCCCCATAATTGACAAAGATTAGCACACAGCTCCCTTGCAGCAGTATTCCTTTGGCTCAGAGAAGCGCTAGATCATCTCTAGAAGAGAAAACTCAGATCTGAGATATGCTGACAATGAACAATCCTTTTTAAGCATCTTTAAAACAGAAAGTCAATAAAGGAACCTCCTATTGTTGAATTCATGATAGAAAAATAAATTATTCTGCAACCCAGTTAGCAAGGTAATTATTAATTGCACAGAAATAGACTGCTCTCAGATACTGAAGATGTTCAAGTGCCTCAAGCACAATTGTTTCTGTATATGACATTTACATTAGACATAGGAGGAGATATTTGTACATTGTTTTGAAAACACAATTGTGCTTAAAAGAAGAGTTTGAAGAAATTGTTCTTAAAAGAAGAACAACAGTGTTAGCAAAGCACAGTACGCAAACTATGGGTTCTACCAGAAAATGGGAGTCACCTCTTGCCAATCCATCCCAAACCTAATAGCTAGAATATGCCAGGATCCAGAACTCTTAAAATCATTCACAGAGATGAAGGGTGTCTACATCTGTGGACAAACACAGATGTGGACTCTTTATAACCAGTGAAGAGAAATGGGTGTTATTACATTGCAGATTGTCTTAGATTCAGTGAGTTCTAAAAGAGATCTGAGGAATCACGATGGAAGTATTCCATGTAAAGGGAGTGCAGGATGGCTAGCCCAGCTGGGGATGGTCTATGTGAAGACACCTTAAATTAATCCTGCCCATCCAGAAGGCAAAGTTTTCGCAGGCTGATAACTGATGGGATAAAACCTCTCTCCATCACATATCACTTGTACCTTTAGATTACTGTACAAGCGGGAGAGACTCATCTCATACCCAGGTGCCACCGAAGGAAAAGGAGAGGACAACAAAGAACAACCAAGGCAATAAGTAACAGACATGAGTTCTCCCTTCACGCCTACCTCCTCCTTTTTATTCTCCCATCCACTCTCTCTTCCCAACCGATCTCTCAAGTTTCTCAAACAGGGAAAGGCAAAAGTGGCACAGAAGTGTACGAAGTCTCCTTCTAAAAGTCCAGCATCCTCTAAACACAAAGTCTACTCCATTACCATGTACCCTCTTCCCTCTCTCTGTCACTACCATTCCCTTCAATTAAAACATAATACCCTTCTTTCTCCAGAAAGTTTCCTTATAGTACACAATGCACTTGATCACTGAGCCCATGGGGATTCGGTTGATGAGCTGGTTTCTCATTGGCGGCAAAGGTGGGTTGAAATGAATCTTCAAACCAAGAGCTGGCGGAATGGCACTGATCACGTATTTGCTCTGGAAAAGAAATTATACATAAGCCAAATACATTCTCCACTACTGCATCCTAAGTATATTGCTCTAATGATCTTGGCAGACATCTGGGGAGGCTGCAGGGTGTATCTTCTGAAGCAACTTTGGCATTTAGCATAAGAATTGCAAAACGGAACCCTCACAAAATCCTGGTTGTTAAACAACAAACAAGCATTATATAAACAGCCATCTGTTCCAATGATGGGCAGCTGCTCTTTCCCCAGCACTTGAAAAAAAGCCAGTGGAAAGATTTTCTGTGTTACAAGAGTCCATTGGTCTCCCTTCCATCTGGACTCCTCTGTTACAACTTGGAAGCAAAGCCTGAAATGTTTTTCACAGAAAGTTTATTACTAAGCTACATTTTTGTGTTCACCTTACAACTATCCTTTAATTTGGAAGGTAACCAAATACTAGAAGAGATGCTAGTGAAGGAAGAGTTTGAATATACACTTTGCTTTTCAGGCATCACTTTAAAGCTCCATCATTGCTATTACTCAGGGACAACGAGAAAGTGTGATTTTCTGTCATAGTCACTTTAATCTCTGCCTCATTTTTGTACAGGATTTTGGAGAAGTCAAAAAGGAAGAGCTAAAGGCTTTCTAGCCATCCCAGCACAAACAGTTGCTTGAATGTTAGAGGTTTCATTACCTCATATAATTCATGATCTAAGGTTTCCACTATGACACTTTCACCCGACTGGTCAATGCGGATGACTGGCTTCCTCAGCTTCACCCGGCCTCCCAGGTGCTCCATTATTTTCTCACTGATCTGGCCAGAGCCCCCAACAAACTTCCTCTCCTGAAACACAGAAAATGACAACTCGGCAAAGCAGAATCAGCAGAGTGATGCATGTGAAGCACATGTCATGACGAACATTTTGCTTGGGCTTCAAAACAAATCCCGTTCTGTTGTTATCAAACCTTTTTAGGAAAGTTCAGCAGTCTCACTTGGAAAACCTATTCACGTCCCTTTCTCTTTCAGTGAACTCCTCAAACACTTCCCGTATTTGACCACCAGCCAAAACTAGAAGCATCAGTAACCTCATGAGAAAAGCCCTTCTCATGTGGTCTCCAAATGGATTCCACAGACCTGTGTGAATCAGCAAGACTTCTGAAAAGCACTTAAACTTTTAAACCTTTCTCTGACTTCACTCTTATCCCTGCAGAGGTCTGTGCATCAGAAGTAGAAACCCTAGTCCTCGTAATAAATAACAAGGTATAAGGAAGTGACGTAGCTTACACCAAAAATGTATCCTGCAGTTATGTTATCTAACTTAATTTAAACTCAAATCACCTCTAACATAATGCAGAATTCAAATAATATTTTATGCAATGTATATACAGTTAAATTATCTATAATTATTGCTTGTCTATGCATATTTATGAATTTAAACATGTTTTATTGTATTCTTTGTATTTTTGGTTATTTATTTATGATTAAATAATTTTCATTTCTAAAATAGAATTATTTCTGATACATTGAGTAACATTTGCATTTCTCAAGTGTAAGACCATTAACAGAGTCTTTACTTTCTTGAAATGCAGAAGCAGCACAAATATAGCAGATTTCAAACATTTCAGAGCAATACCATAGTTAAGCAGGGGTGTTCATTTTATTCAGACTGATTTTAAAATCTTAACAGTTTTAATCCTGGGAGCTAGTGTCTTTAGGAACCCAGTTCTGGGCTACATTTTCAGTATTAATTTGGAGCACTCTACACACTCGTGCAGCTAGCATTGCCATCCCCAGTAAGTGCTTCTGAAGTGGTAAGGCTTGCTTCAGCCTCATGACAGAAATAAGCATAAGTAATACTTTCTTTTTTTAAAGTGGAAAAGCAAAGTAAGTGTTCCAACCAGAGTCCAAAAAGAAGCCAGAGTCAGGAACCGATACAAATCTACTGATCCCTGGGCCGATGCCTTCAGCACAGGAATAGCCTTCAACATTAGTTTTGCAAGATCCAGATTAATGTGTAAATGAACAGAACTAGTTATTAATGTGCTACCGGCTCAAAATCATGGACGCCTCAGTTGGCCCTCTGAACCAAAATTAACAAGCAAAAGAAGGAAGTTAAAACAGGGCCTGTCACAAGCCACAGAAGGTGATGGCTGACAGTACCTGCCCTCCGTTGGTTGTTGAGAATATCCTTGTTGTCCCCCCACACTGCTTCACGTACCACAAAAACCAAAGGGCAGAGACCTCGTGGGGTTCAGAAGTGACATCCACATTCACAAACAGAGTTGCGAAACTCTTGGCAGCACTGCAACAAAGACAAAGAAAGCGAATTAATTTAAAAACTGAAGGAGGGTGACAATCTTGTTCTTTAGTAAGGGAGAGACTATCTTTGGCAACCTCTTCTTTCACTGAGAGCAAAGGATTCCTTGATTTCAGTTAAAGTACGAAACAATATCAATTCCTTTTATGCAACATTTTTCAAAAAAATGTTAATCAAGCACTGCTGTATTCCAGCAAAATTAGGGCTCCAGGAGACACGAGAGCCAATGAAAGCTTATACCACTTTATGCTACTAATACAAAGCTAGTTTGTCACCCTAGATTCAGGATTAAGGGAAGCAAGTCCCCCTGTCTTCACTGGACTCCAAAACCACCATGTCCTCCCATGGTTCCCAGGTTACATCCAAGATCTGCAGCTCTGTTTGCACCTGCTGAATGCCTGTCCCTCAAGTACACAGCACAGGGATTATTCAACATTTGTCATAAAAAAGTTAGGGACCTTGTCTAAGCTAATTATCTAAACTCTCTGGATTAGTCAGCATCCCCTCACTGCCTACTCCTCTGCTGTGCTCAGGGAAAGTGCTGCGGCTGGAACACAACAAGGAAAGAAATGGAAGTAGGAAGCCGTAAGTGAAGAGACAGCATATACACATTCATGCAAAAGTCTGGCAAGAAAAGGGAAAGCAAACTTTTGATTGCTCAACTCAGTATTTTAAACAGTGGTCTGGTAGTCAGTGGTGATGAACACAGAAGTGGAAAGTGGCCTGTGTCTGAAAAAGGATCACTGCTTTATGTCCTCCAGTTGGCGCTTTCATAACAGCTCTACTGAAAATTATTGTATAAACCTGTACAAGATTTTGGGGTGCATTAAGACAGAGTTAATTAAGGCTCAGGGAAACATTTCTCCTATTAGAAGTAAACACTTCCTCTGCCCTCACTCTAAAGAGGAATTTAAAGGGACATGGACAGAACCAGGAGATGCTCAGCTTAACTACATTGTGATTGACAGGGACTGAGATTCTATAGGTATTTCATATGCCAGGCACCAGGCAATCAATAACCTCCAAAACCAGTACAGAATCCACTTTTAGTTGCTTCTTTCTTTTTTCAGTCTTCAAACTTAAAAAAAAGTGAAAAGCATAACTCAAACATACTATTTCAAACAGCTGTAGATCTACATAGAAAAAAAGGTATCTTCTGTCCTTTCTAAAAATGCAGAGTCCCACTGAAGTAAAAAGCTGATCCATTTTCTGAAATATGGGTGCATGCTGGCTTCATTCTTGACAGCCAAAAATAATACAGAAAGTATTCATCAATTTTTGTCTGTATAAACACATACTGTAAAATATGATCAACTCTGAAAGATATTTTGTCTAATGGGAGAATTAGTATATGTATTTATTAATATTTCATAAGCAGAAGGTATTAGATGGTGGTTAAATTCTCGTAGTTTCTGCCGCCTTCTCCCATTGCTTTTTAGCATTTCAGTTCCGTGGTTTCTCCTGGTGTTTTAGAGATGGCAGTGATTTAGAAATGGCAGTATGATTTCAACTAAGAGCACTCGGGGTATTTCCAGCACACAATTTTAGCCAAAAGCAAATCTGTACAGTCTGTTAGATGAGAGGAAACAGCAGAAGATTACCCTTCTGGATCATTACCTTCCAGGTTGGAAAGTTTCTACAGCATGTTACCTAAATCTTGCACAAACTGGGCAAATCAAGCTGAGATGCACATATAAAATCCGAAAAGCATCTTGGAATTAAGGGAGGCTGACGGTTATGCCAATATTCAGGTAAAATGTCAAGTCTTATTCCATCAGAGTTTGAAAAAAAAAAAAAAATGACTGTAGTCACGTGAGCTATTGGATATTGAATGACTACCGGTGCGTGGCGTTTTGCTAACTGGTATGGTTCCTCACCAAATCAGAGGTTCAGATGGCCAGCAGAACCACCAGCATACATTTCCATATGGTTTTACTGAATATGGATGGCAATACAAACAAGAAAGGCTTTCTATATGCTTTTGTGCAATTGTAACTCTTGTTAAAGCAAAACAACTGGAAGATTAAAAGATTTTGGACAACAGCCTACTGTCCATTAACAATGATCATGTTGCTCTCTAGAGGCTGGCTAGCCATAAAGATGCCCCTGTCGATGACAGTGTCAGCTCTAGCAGGCTTCTGCACCAAGCTTGTGCAGGCTCACTGCAGCCACGTGTCGGGTGCTTAGCAATTCTGAAGGGGTTGCTGCAGAAATCAATCTGCTTTACAGCGAGGCAGAATTAATGGCGTTTTTTTGCTTCAGTGTGAAGAAAACCAATCAAACTGTTGTTGAATGGCAAGCAAAGAAAAATTGCTTTGATATATACATAAAACCAGGAAGCATTTTCAGTTTCCCTGGGTGGTATATAGTGCAGCAGTTAAACAACAGAATGATGGGTGTTAAAATGATTTAGTGCTATTTCAAGACAAATGTTATTTTTATAGCACTTTGGTAAAATCAACTGGTCCAGCACTGAATAAATGTGTGTTGTTCCATCAAAAGTTTGATTCAAAAACCTGCTGTAGCCAGAGCATTTTTCTTGTAAAAGTTAAACACGCAGTAAAGAGAGGGAAAGTGCATATAACAGATGAAGGTACTACTTATGTCTTCAGAAGTAAACCTCCCCAAATACATTTTCTTTTTATCTTTATTTTAGTCTAAAAAGTTATGGAAATATAACAGAATCTACTGTGTGTGCTGACAGATGTTGTGGTCCATTATTACAAGAATTTCTCACCCCATTTCTTTAAAAAGGCTGTATTCTAGTGGTAGTTATATCTGTTTGCAAAACAGTAACGCCTATATGGAGCTCTAAGGCATATAAATATAAGCTATTATATTTTGTATTAAAGAGTTTCTTACTTAGTCCAGCAAGTTTTATCTATGAAATCTTGCATAGTCATTTTGTCCCATTCTTCTGCATGTGGAGCTTTCCACGGGGCTTCACTGGGAATCTAAGGAACATAAGAGAGCATTCATCAGCAAATGAACGAGTGGCATAAGAAAGAGACAACAAACACAAACAATCACAAACAATCTCATCTTTACATGGTAATTCAGCCTGCAAATTCCTGGCAGGTAATAGTGAACTTAACAAAGGATGCTTTTAGTTTTTTGTTGTTTGTTTATTTTAAGATTTTTTTTTTTTAATGTAAGAATAGAGAATAATTTTAGAGCTAAGAACTTTGCCTAGAAAGGCAAAGTACAGTACTGGGGAATGTCTCTGAGTTCTTCCATATCTCTCCCATTCACCTATGCAAGTAACTGCAACCTCTTCTCAAAGTCTTGTAGCTCAGTCAATAGAAAACATATGCTACTGATAACAAACTAAAATGGTTGAGCTGAATTTGAGGGTGGAGAAGGGCGTATATTTGAAGTCTACAAGCCTCTTAAAATATTACTTACCCAATCGGCAGGCAAAGTGCTAAAAATCACATGCATAAACCCTAATGTTCATATACCCAGAAAAACAAAGGTATGATTGCAGACAGCCTCAGCAGCACGGCCTTCAGAAAAGCTTACCAGGATGCCACTCATAACATGTGCTCTGACCATCAGTGCATACCAAAATGCATGGCACGATGCTGCTCTTGCCAGCACCAGGTTGTTCAAGCTAGAGCAGCTTGGCCCATCTGCATCCTAGCCCTGCCTCCACTCTGCCCCTCATGGAGACAAAGCTGAGCTGAGACGGTCAGCTGCAGTTCCTCATGCCATACCTCCTTCCCCATTTCATCCATGGTCCTCCATAGGTTGTTGTAGTCCAGGTAGGCCAATGGATTCCACATAGGAGGGAATGGACCTTTAAAGGGGTAAGACTTACCCTACAAGATGAAAAACAAACAAAAACATCATAAAAACTAAATACAACCATAATCATGACTTCTACGTGCGGGAAGCTGCACCAAATGGTTAAGTGTTCACTGGAAGAAAGCACACATTTAATCAATACACGTAACAGCTTCTGACCCATCATGTCTGTGTGTGCACGTAGAACAAGAGGTAATGGGCACAAACTGAAACAGGAGGTTCTGTCTGAACATGAGGAAACATTTTTTTTACTGTGAGGGTGACCAAGCGCTGGCACAGGTTGCCCAGAGAGGTGGTGGAGTCTCCATCCTTAGACATATTCAAAAGCCACCTGGACATGGTCCTGGGCAACTGGCTCTAGGTGGCCCTGCTTGAGTAGGGGTGTTGGACCAGATGATCTCTAGAGGTCCCTTCCAACCTCAACCATTCTGTGATCCTGTTATTCTACCTGTGTGACTTAAGTGTGATACACAGTTGAATTAAGTCAGTTGTGTGCAGAACTGATACTGCCTTGCGTCTTCAAAGCTTTACCTTGGGCACTTCTGGGCAACAAAACTAATACCCTGCAGTAGAGTCGCTAAGATCAGACCAAAAAAAGAGATGGAACAGCACTGCTCAACTAAGATGAAAAATTGGCTATTTGTTACTGAAAAAGAGAAACATATCTTACATTTTTTTCTCCTAAATGTTCATTAAAAGACTGAACTGTTAATTGTATTTAGTGGGTTTTCCTTTTTCTTTCAAAACCAGACAAAAGCAGCTGTGATGAGCTTTACTATACACTAAAATCATAGCTCAGAGACCTTCCTGGAAAAAAATGGTTTCAGCTAACCTAAAAATCCCCAGCTCTACAGAAAATGTAGCATTTACTAATAATGACTCATTCTTCCAATCCAACACCTCTGACCATAAATTCCAGAGATAGTGTGGCCAATACGAGTGTCCTAACTACATCATTATATATTTAATGGTTAGATTTTAAATATCTGTATCTCCACTACCAGATATTCAGAAAGTCTAGCTGAATTAAGAGTGGAAGACGACAGGTAATTTGTTGAGTTATTTTATTTATATGGGATTTCCCTGACTGACATATTATATGGATGGCAGCACCACAGCTTTAAAAATTCACAACGAAGTGCTCATTAGCATTATGTGGTTACTCATTTTTTCACAATGCATTCTGGACTCCATAAAATAGATAAAAATAAAGGGCATATTGTGTGCCACAGCTGATTTTTCAAACCTCATATTAAATTACGTATTTAAGTGGGCACTGCAGCAGTATGAATGTCAATTGGTAGAAGTACTAACTTTTAACAGATATTTGATGCAGTGCCACACCAACCCATCACCAAAAAAAAAAAATATTTACACTGACTTTGAAAGAAATACTGCATCAAGATTTAATATTTAGAACCAGGTAACAACACCACCACTGTGTCTTGTTGACGAGAAGTATCAGAAGACCGCTTACTCGAAGAAGTGTCAGGCTTGATATAATTTAGCCTCTTTATTAATAATGTGAAAGAAGGGACAGAGAGCGCATTATTCAAATCTGCACAGTAAAAGGGCACAAAGGGATCCTGAAAGACTCAAAACTTGGTCCAGAAATAACAAAGTGAGATATAACCTTGAAAAATGCTGGCTAATAACTTTGAGGACTTTAATTCAAACAGAGATATACTTAGAAAGCAGTAAGGCCAAAAATCAAACCTAAGGATAAAAGAAAATCAGTTTACAAAAAAACCCCAACAGGTTAGAAAAAGTGAAGAAGAAACTGTTTTTTCACCTAGTCTTTGTACAGACGCAGGACTAACGGAATCCTTGTCAGAAACACCAAGGTAATGAAAGTTAGGAAGAAAGCAAAGTGTGGGAGGAAAGGAATTAATTCTTTGGTACATGGACATATGAAGAAGTAACTGCAAAACAACAATTTCATTTTGCAATGCTTTTGAGGAGAGATGATGGTTTGTAAAATGCCAAACCATCAAATTTTAAGAAGTTTTCAATCAGAAGTTTTGTCATACCGAGAGTAGATCTCCAGTCACTTTATGAGCCAGAGTTACCACGGTTGAAAACTTAGCGTTTCCAATTTAAGAATGGATATTACAGCACATGTTCACAAATCCTCCAGAAAATGGAGGTTTTGGTTTTCTGGGGGGTTTTTTGTTTGCTTTTTTTTTTTTTTTCATTCAGCATGGAATAAAAGCACATTTCTAGAGCTCTTGCGCTCAACCATATGAAAATACATTAAACTGGAATCAGGAAAACATATCCCTGTAGATGGAGATGAACTCGGTAAGCTTGTTCCATCAGAAGCATTTGGTCCCGACAGACATTTGGGTACTATTATGGAATCTCTTAACATGAAATTAATTTGAACTGGGGAACACCTTCATACTCTGCTGCCAAAGGGCTATAAAAGAGCAGCAAAATCTCTCAGACTTGAGTACCTTCCTGTCCCAGCTAGTAACATCTGAACCATGTTGGTAACTACCTTTTAGCCTTTTTGGGCACATTAAAAATCCATAACTAACTCCTATGGCAGCAAGAAGTCAGTTTTACCATGCCTTCTTCTGAGCACTGGAGCCACCCTTCACTAGTGTAAACACCGTGTAGGTATTCCAAAGACAGAGCATATCAGTTTGGTTTTAAGTACCTAGCATTTCCCAGATTTAGATTTATGAAACACATATACTGTGTTTCATAACAGAAAACCAGGACAGCATCAGAATGGGTTATTCCAATTATTAATTTTGTTCTGAGCTTCCTGCTCTGCCAGAGGCAATCCTAACTGAGTTATCCCCTCTGTGTTAACTCAAGTCTTATGAATTCCCTGTGGTGCTTCCTCATGAGCGCATGGCTAAGAGAGACACAGAACATATCTTTGTTTTAGTATTCTTCTATTTCACTGCATTTGAACTGCTGAAAGGGAAATCTTGGGTATGTCTCGTGCAGAAATCTGGGGTGACAAGTCTCATAAAGCACAAGAACAAACTTCAACCTGGAAAAATAAAAACAATCATAAAAGTGAGGGAGTCTCCTGTGAAAGTTACTTTCAAGAGCTCCTAAGACATTATCTAAGGCCTGATCCTTATTTCCTACACAGACAAAACTCCAGGAGCTGTCAATCAGAATTTTGTTTTGAGAAGAAACTGCAAGACTAGACTCTACACAGAAACAAAAATAGCAGCACCAAAGAAAGACTACACATAGCTCTGAGTAGTTTCCAACAAACCAAAACATTTCAGCTCTACTTCTGAGGAATTTGCACTTTTGAAAAAACAGCAACCTCATTGATATTTAGGCAAAATTTGCCTATTTCTATCATATTGCTGGGAATAGCATTCTCCATACTTCCTGGTGCTGTATAATCTCTAAAGAAAAACAAGACACAGATGAAAAATATGCCCCAAGATGCACAAAACATTTCCTTTTCAAGTATTTTTTTATACCTAAACCAGAGCAGTATAAAAACAGCAATAATAACCACCCCTTCTGATCATTTGACATATTTCAACACCAGTACTATAATGCTCAGAAGTATTTCTTACTTTTTTTTTTTTTAGGGCTTTAATACAGGCATATATTATTTTTTAGAAACTGTTTCGTGATGCCACTTGCAATGCTTCAAAAAGCAGAAGATCAGCATCAGCAGTTGGAGGTCTTCTGCTATTGTATGGGTCACCTGCTGCTTACAAAGGCTGTTGCTGCAGTATGGGCTAAAGCATACTGAAGAAGCTGAAACTATAAGGAAGAAATTTATGCAACCCAGCTGTTTTAAGAATAAACAAACAGGGAAATGAGAAATTCAGTGTTTGTCACAAATATTACAATTCCCAACAGATTTTTCTCATCCATCTGTTTCACGTCAACCAACGTTTGGCTTAGTTACACCGGACCCATATAATATAAGTAGTATAGAAATAAACTTTCTGCACACATCAGCTCTGTTTCAGGTCAAATAGCTGACATAAGAAGTGCGTTATTACAAGGGAAAAAACACAGCATGGCAACTGAATATCAGCAGCCCCTTGAGTATCAGCCCCAGCAGCTGGGAGGTGTGATGGTGTGCTCCCCCCCTCCACCCACCCAACCTGACCTTTATCTCCTGTAACACTGCTTAAGTGATAACTACCAGGGGCAGTCGTTAATGGATGCTGACGGTGATACTTCGTCCATTAACGAAGTGGATTCCGGAGCCAGATAACAACACAATAGCTCTTGGTTATTGTGAGAAATGCGCCCACCTAACCACAGTTATCAGTATGTAAATATGACTATGAGTCAATCATCTTACCCCTATAAATAGTGAGCGGCCCAAGAGCCCGTTGAGCTCTCCTGCATGGCAGTGGGCTGCGTGCCAGGACCTCCCCTTGAGTAGGGATGCCTCTCAAGGTCACTCCTCGAGGTTGAGAGATTCCTTGCCGCGACAGATACTCGATAAGTGACTAATAGCATGCAAACTTTGAAATCTTAGCTAAGTGATATAAAGGATTGATTGTGCATATATAATCCTTTAGACATAAACCATTGACCAAGACTGGGACTAGGATTGGATCCAGCCACACCTAAACTCCTCTGAGAAGTTTAGAAAGCAAGGGGGCCCTTTCTGAACCTCATGACTCAACAGGAGGGTCTCCCTGACAGTAATGTCTGACCCTGTCCTCTATGCAGTAAATAATCAAGTGTACCTTGCCATCGAATCTTGTTCACTGTCGCATTGACCATTGAACTTTGTTAATTCACACTTTAACTCACTGTTTTCTATCAATAAAGTATTGTTGCTTCTCTCTTACAAGTGAAGTACAGTCTCACTCCACCCGCAACAGGAGGGCATAGGGACCGGATCCCACACACTTTCTCCTGGGAGGGTGAGAGCGAGGGAATGGTTGGCTGAGAAAGGACATGCTCTGCCAGGAAATATCATCAGTATCTCAATGCAGAGTGGGGTCTCAGGAGAAAGTCTCTTTTTGCAGGCACAAGACAACTTCATGCTCCCCTAAATGTT